CGTGGGGCGAAGGGAGTGACACCGGGTCCGGCACCGGCGTGGGGCGAAGGGGTGACACCAGATTCAGCACCGGGATGGGTGACACCGGGTCCGGCACCGGGATGGGCTGAAGGGGTGACACCGGGTCCGGCACTGGGATGGGGCAAAAGGAGGTGACACCGGGTCTGGCATCAGCATGGGACAAGGTGACAGATGACATCGGGTCCAGCGCTGGGATGGAGCAATGGGGTGACACTAGGTCCAGCACCAGGATGCGGTGAAGGGGTGACACGGGGTCCAGCACTGAGATGGGATGAGGGGCGTGACACTGGCTCCTGCACTGGGATGGAGCAAAGGGTAATGACATCACAATGGGTGAAAGGGGGTGACACCGGCTCCAGCACTGGCATGGAATGAGGTGACAGGTGATCCCAGGTCCAGCACTGCGATGGAGTGAGGGGATGACACCAAGTCCACCACTGGGATGGGGCAAGGGGGAATGACACAATGGGGTGAGAAAAGGGTGGCACTGGGTTCAGGACTAAGATGGGGTGACACCAGGTCTGTCCACCGGTCCCAGGCATCCCCTGCACCCCCTGCACAAACAGTCACACCACAGGGAAGGACTCAGCACTTTTATAGCCCCAGGTCCCCAAAGGGAATGGGGAGTAGTTTGGGGTACAGTGGGGGAAGCAGCTCCCAGGGGACTGCAGTTCTGTTTGGGGGGTCCCTGGACGAAGGAGGGGGCTGCAAAGGACAGGGTGGAAGTTTGGGAATCGGCTCTGGGTTGGGTCTGGATGCTAGGCTTGGGTCTGTGCTGGATTTGGGATGTTGGGACCTGCTCTGTGTCAGATCTAGGACAGTGGGCTCTGCTTTGACTCAGGTCTGAACACTGGGATCTGCTTTGTAGTGGCTTTGAGATGTTGGGAGCTGTTTCATATTGGATCTTGGGCTCTGCTTTGGGTCAGGTCTGGACACTGGGAATCTGCCTTGTGTCAGATTTGAAAATCTGGGATCTGCTCCACATCAAATTCAGGACATTGGGATCTGCTTTATGTTGGATGTGGGGCACTGCATCCTGGTGTGTGTCAATCCCAGGTGGGGACAGGGGCCATTCTCTGTGTTCAGCAGTCCCAAACACGGCAGGGCAGTGCCCAGAGGCTGAGCATCAGTCTGTCAGTCCCTCACAACTCAGCGTGGTACTGCTCCGCTCTGAAGGCCTCGCTGGGCTGCATGAAGATTCCCTCCATCACCTTCCAGTAGTTATTCTGGCTGGAAGTGGCCATGCCATGCACCTCCTTCTGCCCGTGGATGGGTCGCCCGTACTGCTCCCCCGTCACCGAGAGGAAGACGTCGGTGGAGGTGTGCTGGAAGCGCACCTCGTCCTCCCGCACCCAGTAGGTCCCACTGCACACCACTGTCCAGTCGTCCAGGTAGTCACCCTCACCAGCCTCCCCGAATGCACTCACCTCCTGGGGGAGAAGAAGAGCTTGTTTTGGGGCTGAGATGAAGAGGAGGGACTAGGGGGGGTTGAGGTGGGCAGTGGTGGGAAGGACCGGGTTGTGACTAAGGCTCCATTGGGACTTGGCGGGTCTGGTTGGGATTCAAGTTGGTAGGGACTGGGGCGCAAGGTGGGACTGGTAGGGACACAGCTGGGACCAGGGAACAAGGTAATGCTGGTAGTATCATGGGGACAAGAGGAACTCAGTCTAAACTGGGGAGCAAGGTGGGACTGGTGAGGACATGGGGGACACATCTTGGGCTAGAGGACAAGGAAGTGCTGGTAGAGACATGGGAAACTTGGTTGGGACTGGTAGGGACCGGGAGATTCCAGGAGGGACTGGGGAATAAGATAGGGCTGTCAGTCACACGGGGGACAAGGGGGACCCAGCTGGGGACTGGGAAACACATTGGGGCTGGTGCGGATATGGAGGACCCTGTCTGGACTGGGGGACAAGCTGTTAGAGACACGGGGGACAAGGAGGACCCAGCTGGGACTGGGAGGGACAGGGAGAGCCCGGTAGGAACTGGGGAACGAGGCAGTGCTGATAGGGCCGTGGGCGACGAGAGGGATCCCGACTGAACCCGGCACGGACTAGGGAGCCCCGGCCAGCCCCGTGCGACGAGGGGCTGGGTGTGCGCAGGGAAGGGTACCTGGTTCCCGGAGAGCGGGGAGGCGAAGCGGTGGCTGTGCAGGTTGCGGCCGGTGCCCAGGTGCGTGAGCCGGATGGTCTGTCCGCAGCGCACCGG